TAATGGGAGTATAAATTTACTTGGCCTTGAAGGGCCATTTATCATTATCTATAAAAATTATTAATGTTCTTATCCTTTGGCCCAACATATGCTTACTAGAAGTTCTAGTGAGTATTACTCCCACAAAGGTATGAAGAGATCTACTTAAAAATGTTTACTGAAGTAGCATTTGTTATGATAAAAATTGGAAAAAAAATCCAAATGTACTTTAATATAAAAAGAGTTAACTATAGTACATCCATGTATAGTAATACCACAGATCCAATAAAAAGACACTAAGGTAGATCTGTATATATATATTGATCATGGAAACACGAGAGAAAGTAATTTTAGATTTTTAGATATGTTATTTGTTTAGATTATATAAAACATGTCTATTTTAAAAATGTAATTAAGACTTCAAAATTAAAATGGAAAATTTAAATACTGTAGAAAGATCCAATCCAAAATGTTAATTTTGTTAAAGATCCAAAATGGTCAATTTTACTAAACAGAATTTTAAAACGGCAATCTTCAGTTGGAAATATTTATTTTATTTTATTTTATTTTTATTACTTTTTTTGAGATGGAGTCTCGCTCTGTCACCCAGGCTGGATGGAGTGCAGTGGCACGATCTTGGCTCACTACAAGCTCCGCCTCCTGGGTTCACACCATTCTCCTGCCTCAGCCTCCCAAGTAGCTGGGACTACAACCACCACGCCTGGCTAACTTTTCTGTATTTTTAGTAAAGACAGGGTTTCACCATGTTAACCAGGATGGTCTCAATCTCTTGACCTCGTGATCCTCCCGCCTCAACCTCCCAAAGTGCTGGGATTACAGGCGTGAGCCACTGCGCTCAGCCTTCAGTTGGAAATATTATACTTACTCATTCCCCTACAATCCCAAGTAAAAAAGCTGTCATTATGCTTATAACTGTTAAATACTTAAAATTAAAAAAAAAAAAAGATTCAGAATAATTCCAGAACTTACACTTGTAATTTCATCCTTACAAAATGCTATGGCTTCAGGTTGCTTGCTTGGAGGAAAAGCCGCTTCAAATGCATCTTTTGCTGCAAACGCAGCCGGTGTATAAGTATCACATTGAGCCATTAGCCAATATCCCATTAAACTTTTTAAGTAGGGAGCCAACTGTTTCTTTACTTTAAGGATAAGTTTTTCAAAAGCTTGTTGTGTGGCTTCTCGGACCCGACGGTCATGATCCTATTAAAAATATAAATGTGATTTAAAATAGCTCTAGCTCATAAAAACAATCACAGACACTTCTGGATATGCTATAATGACCCATTACCAAGAATTCACCTATGCATTAAGCTAAACTGAAATCATTTTTTTAAATCAATAACTTCGAGGTTTTTAAATCAGAAACTATATAAAATAATTTATTAATTTTTCTTTCTCCCCTTCTCCCAATGAGACAGGATTGTATTCAAGACAGATTCAAAGTTGGGCCTTGAGGCCGAGCCTGGTGGTTCACGCCTATAATCCCAGTACTTTCGGTGGCCGAGGCAGGTGGATTATTTGCAATCAGGAGTTCAAGACCAGCCTGGCCAACATGGTGAAACCCTGTCTCTACTTAAAATACAAAAAATTAGCAGGGCATGGTGGCACACACCTGTAATCCCAGCTACTCAGGAGCCTGAGGCAGGAGAATCACTTGAACCCAGGAGACAAGGTTGCAGTGAACAGAGATCGCGCCACTGCACTCCAGCCTGAGTGACAGAATGAGACTCCTTCTCAAGTAAAAAAAAAAAAAAGGTTGGGTCTTGAATAATTAAGCAACTCACTCTCATTCTCCTGCAGCAAATATACAAGGAATAAAATCATCATCAAAATTTATTAAAACTGGAAAGCACCAGGGTAATTCTCTAGTAACAATCTACTTTCTGAAAACAGACTTCCTAAATGTTCTTCTTAACCCGACACAATCCAATCTTTTTTTTTTTTTTAAAGATGTTGTATTGCTCTATTGTCTAGGCTGGAGTGTAGTGGTTCAATCTTGGCTCACTGCAACCTCCGCCCTCGGGTTCAAGCGATTCTTCTGCCTCAGCCTCCCAAGTAGCTGGGATTACAGGCATCCACCACCACACTCGGCTAATTTTTGTATTTTTAGTAGAGACAGGGTTTCACCATGTTGGCCAGGCTGGTCTCGAACTCCTGACCTCAAGTGATCTGCCCATCTTAGCCTCCCAAAGTGCTGGGATTACACACATGAGCCACCATACCAGGCCCCAACCTCTTTTTTTATATCCACGCTCTTCTGAAGTGTTAACCATTCAATCTGCAAAACAATGCTGACATAACATTTAATAACCCTCACCAAAAAATCAACATTATAAATTTGAGAGTGTCCATGACTCCAACCAAAAAATATACAACAGAAATAAACTAGCAAAGTTTTAATACTTACAAGTGAAATTTTGCAAAAAATTCTTGGCCAATATGGAAGAACACCTTTCACAGTTTCTGTGTCTCTCTCTGTACACATGGTTCCAAATTCCTGCATAGCCTAAAAGTAAGTCATTATTAACATCATTAGGATTAACAACCATAATACTGGCTATTAATTATTCTGTTCTGGAAGCTTTGTCTATTTATGTAATAGGAGAATACACTATTTCTGTTTATGCCATATGAGACTAGTTTGAAGAGCTTCTTCACAGACTACTATGGTAGAAACTCTTCAGTTGTTTTTTAAGAAATAAAACATCTACAAACAAAAAAAACCTCATTTAAAGTTACAAGGTCAAAGTTACATTTCCTAATGGGAAAAATTATACAGCCAAAATTCTAAAGCAGTTTAAAAAAGTTCAGTGTAACAAACTAATTTACAACCTAGAAAATAAATATCAACTAAGTTTAAGACTGTGTGACAGAAAAAAGTACAATTATAAAAGAACTTAGCAATTGTTCATTTTTCTTTACATAAAACATGCTAATAACTTTTGTTTTAGCAAAGGGATTTTCTTGATAATTTTTATGAAAACAAGAAAACTTGCTTTTAATTTTGTGGTGACATCTTTCTTTGAAAGCTTCCGCAGCACCATTCGGAAATCAGAATCTACAAGACTGTCAATTTCTTCAGCTCCTTGAATAGCAGGAACATAGCCTAGGTCACTCTGAGATGTTCCAAAACCAATAAATCCAGGCACTGTTCCCTGTTCTTTGGCAAGGAGTTCTGCAGCTCGGCCACTGTTTGACGGCTGATAAGAAAATTACGGAGGAAAAAAGTCAGAGTCCAGAAAGGGTTCAAAACTTAACTTTATAATTCCTTGGCTATTCCCATGGTCAGAATGAACTTTTATTTTATTTTTTCCTAGCCTAAAATTTCATCTATTGCAAAATTCCCCAAAGATTAATGGTTTTGTTCCCAAGAATCCATCAATACTGATCCTAGAAATTATTCCGTTTCCTAAACATTAGAAAGTTTTGTAAACCATAGATACAATCCATTAGTGGCTCATGATATCAATATAATGGACCGTGACAGAATTTTAAAGAAATTGACTAAAACTTTTAAAATCAGAATGTATCACATGTGGCAAAATTTTCATAAATGCTGCTTTATGAATTTTTTTATTTCCAACTTTCATATAAATAGTATGTATACACGTATGTATACTATGTAAAGATATAAAATTAACTCATAAATAGAACCCATCCTTTCATTCACCCATTAATTGAACAAATATTTATTAAGCAATCACAATGGCCCAGGTCTAATGATAGCTGCCTCTAGACTGGGAGTTCCTTGAGGGTAGACACACTCATTTCCATATACTCCAAAGCCTAGCCTAACCTCTTTGGGCTAAAATTACATTATTACAACCATAAAAATCAATACAACGGTCAATCTATAATACAGACTCCTTTGTTTTCAATCACAGTCAGTGCTTTGTTTGACTGATACACAATATGGTAGTCTTCTACTAAAAGGAGGTTAGTTGATACAGAGAAAGAAAATATTTGAACTGCTGAAAGAAATTAACTTACTGTCAGCTAAACAGAAAATGCTTCAGTTTGACCACCAAGCTGACATCACAACCCATCTAAACTCATCTATTTCTTATTTCTCTATAAGGATGCTTGCCAACGGTTATCCAAATATGTGACTCAAATTGCTCATACCAGCCAGGCAAGGTGGCTCATGCCTGTAATCCCAACACTTTGGAAGGCCAAGGCGGGTGGGATCACTTGAGCCCTGGAGTTCAAAACCAGCCTGGGCGATATGGCAAAACCCTGTCTCTACTAAAAACACAAAAATTAGCCAGGCGTGGTAGCGTGTGCCTGTAATCCCAGCACTCAGGAGGCTGAGTCATGAGAATCGCTTGAACCTGGAGACTGAGGTTGCAGTGAGCCAAGATCGTGCCACTGCACTCCACCCAGGGCAACAGAGCAAGACTCTGTCTCAAAAAAAAAAAAAAAAAAATTGCTAATACCTAGCAAAAGTGTGTTTGGAAAACTCACTTGACAAGGAATAATCTGGTCTACTTCCTAAACTGAATTGAGTGAACAAGAAAGAAAATGATGGCCTGCATTACATTTTTTTTCAATCTGTAACATTTAAGACTAATTCCAAAAAAGGTTCTCTATTTTTTTTTTAAGTGAAAGTAAGTTTACTAAGAAAATAGGTCAGGCATGGTAGTTCATGCCTGTAATCCCAGCACTTTGGGAGGCAGAGGAGGGTAGATCACCTGAGGTCAAGAGTTCAAGACCAGCCTGGCCAACATGGTGAAACCCCGTGTCTACTAAAAATACAAACAGGCGTAGTGGCACATGCCTTTAATCCCAGCTACTTGGGAGGCTGAGGCAGGAGAATTGGTTGAACCCGGGAGGCAGAGGTTGCAGTGAGTCGAGATCGCACCATTGCATTCCAGCCTCAGCAAAAAGAATGAAACTCCATTTAAAAAAAAAAAAAAAGAAAAGAATAAAAGAATGGCTACTCCATAGGCAAAGCAGCTGTTCTCTATTTTTTCAGTTTATTAAAATGAATTAATTATTCAATTCACCCTTTTCAATACTGGTACATGAATAAAGAGCCACAAAGGAAGTAGTCAGTGAATTATAATTCTAAAAACTAAATATGATGACTCTAGGATATCAGAATTTTCTACAGTCTCATGTGTAAACAGTTTTATTACAAAACACAATAAAAAACTAATTATTGCTAAAACAGAATTAAAAGTGATAACTAGGGGCAAAAGAGAAGGTATCAAATTTCCAGTCTCCAATTTAAGTAACTTGTTACTTTTAAATGCACTTTTTTAAATGTCTACTTTAAATTTAAAATATAGTTACTCTTATGATCTTTGTATGTTAAAAGCTACACCCATAGTTCAATAAAAATTAAGAAACAATTCTATTTATGGCACTTTTTTTTTTTTTTTTGGACTATGCCTACTTTTGTCTACATTCTTTCATGCCTACCTTCTGGAGGTATTTGTGGTGGCAATCCTGAGTCTACAGTTTAAAGACCAAACCAAGGAAGACTTACAAGATCTTTCACCATCTAACCTCAACTTTTCCCAGTCTTATCTCCTGCCGCTCTTTCCTTCCCTTGCCCCACTTCCTTCTCCCTTCTCCAAATTATGCTGTTATCATTCATGCCCTAGTACCAAATCAAATTCGAAGTTCTCTGAGGCAGGGCATGGTGGCTCACACCTGTAATCCCAGCACTTTGGGAGGCTGAGCGGACAGTTGGGCGGATCACTTCAGGCCAGGAGTTCAGGAGACCAGTCTGGCCAACATGGCAAAACCCTGTCTCTACTAAAAATACAAAAAATTAGCCGGGTGTGATGGTACACACCTGTAATCCCAGCTACTTGGGAGGCTGAGGCAAGAAAATTGCTTGAACCTGGGAAGTGGAGGTTGCAGTGATCCGAGACACTGTCTCAAAAAAAAAAAGTTATCTATGTGATGGCCTTTCGCAATTCGATCTTTATATAATCTTTTCTCTCTACCTGAAAACTCTTCCTTTCTTTTCATTGCCTGACAAACTCCTACTCATCTTTCAAACTCATGTTTGCAACACTTGCCTTCCTCCAGTCTCTTCCATTCTCCCACATTCTTTCTTCTAATACCTGCATCATAATTCTTTAATATATTATAATATTTGCTTACATATGTGTCTGTATCATCAAACTAATAGTTCAAGAACAGCGGACATCTGTCTATTATCTCTGAACACCTGAAATCCAGTATCAAAGTCTTCTACTGAAGACTTTGCCACATTAAAGTTAACATTCCAACTCCACAACTTCCTGGCTACATGAGCTTAGGCAAGCTAATTTCTCTAAACCCCAGTTTCATCACACTTAAAATGAGATATGAGTAATTAATTCATTACTTGGATTGTTTTCATAATTAAGCATAAGTTTTTAAATCACCATCATAATAACTGATTCCAGCAAGAATCAAAGGGTGCTCAAACCATTAGGTGAAAGTTTGTGGAAGAACAGGACATTTCACAGTTTCAAACTAACATATTATTTGTTATTGGCCAATGGAAAAAGATAACTTTATAACGGACAACACGTTAACCAAGTAATTAAACAAATACCACCAATAAGGGGACAAATGGGTACGAAGTGCCCCGGTGTGATGCACTGAGAAAGTCTCATCATCTATGAAGAATTCCTTCTAAAAATTGTTTAGCCTGAATCTAATCATAAGGAAACAACTAGATGAATCTGAATTAATCAAACAAATGGCCCAGGCTCTTCCAAATGTTGTTAAAAAAGACACTCCTCTCCCCGCTTAAACAGTACTGAGAAACTGTCCAGATCAAAGAAACCCAAATGGTAACTAAATGGAATGAGTGATCCTTGACTGGATCTCAAATGTTAAAATGGTTTATCTTTTTTTAAAAAAAGTACCAGCCTGGGCAACATGGCGAAACTGTCCCTACAAAAAATACAAAAATTAGCTAGCCATGATGGCCTGTGCCTGTAGTCCTAGCTACTGGAAAGGCTAAGCTAGGAGGATCACTTGAACCTGAGAGGCGGAGATTGCAGTGAGCCCAGTTCACGCCTCTGCACTCCAGCCTGGGTAACACAGCGAGACTCTGTCCTGAAAAAAAAAAAAAATTAGCCAGAAGTCATAGCTATTAAGGAGGCTGAGGTGGGAGGATCGATCTCTTGGGCCCAAGAAGTTGACACTGCAGTGGGCCGTGATCATACCACCGCACTCCAGGTTTGGAGACAGAGCGACCCTGTCTTACAAAAAAAAAAAAAGAAAAGAAAAAAGAGAACATTATTGGGATAACTACAGAAGTCTAAATACAAGGCTGTATCCTGGATTACAGTATTACACAAAAGCCAAAGTTTCTGCATGCTATAACCATTATTATAATTGCCGCAGGCTAGAAAAATGGCATTGTTTTTAGAAGATACATGCTGATGTATTTAGGAGTTAAGAGTCCCGACTTCTGCAGCTAACTCTCATACAGTTCAGCAAAATACATAAATTAACAGAAAGAAAGCAAATACAACCAAGTATTAGCAACTGGTGAATCTAGGTAGAGTATATGGGATGTCACTCTAACATTCTCGCAACTTTTCCTCCTAAGAACTTTTCAAATATAAAACATTGAGAAAATTTAAATAAAACATATTAAATGAGGATGCAAGTAAAGTGCTTAGCACAGTAACACAATAGGTTGCTATAATTGCTAATACTGTTATTATCTTCCAAAACAGATTAAGTGACAGATCTAAGAAAATGTGACATTGAAATCACTAGAAATAACTATATCAGAAACAGGAAAAAAAGCATTCTCATAAAATTGGACTGTGCTATAATAAATTCAACACCATAAAAAAATACCATTACAAAACCCCTCATCGTGTAGTTTTACACGAATCCACTTTAAGGTCGTCTTTAAACAAGTACTTAGTGAGCGCCTATTAGGTGCCAGTCTCTGTTCTAGGCTCCGAGGATAAAAACATTTACTTTCCAAATACTTACATCTTAGTGAACTAAGACAATAAATGTCACAAATACAATGGAGTTTAAAACAAAGTAGGAAGAACAGGGAGTGCGGAAGGGCTGCAAGAGTAAAGTTTGGAGCCTCCTAACTGAAGAGCGTTGGGAGCCGGCCAGGTAAGGTCAAGGCACAGTGAAGAGATCAGTGTGGCTGGATGAAGTAAGCCAAGAGGAGGGAGTTGAAGATGGGACTGCAGATGGAAAGGGGTAACAGGCAGTCCAGAAACCAAATATACCATCCTAAGAGCTTTAGCTTAGAAGAAGCCCAAAGGAGAGGTACAATCAGCGGTAACCTCCACAGTGGGTTCACTTTAACATCCTCCCAACTCTCCTTCTTCCTAGCGCCGCCCTCCCCCAACCAAGCCTCTACCTCGGCCAGATCACCTTCCAGTGAACCTGACACATTATCATTTCTTCATGAATATTGTGGGTGTGTGCTCGGATGGGGACAGCTCTGGCATGGTACATCTTTTCTCTCACGATTCCCCAATCTGCTCAGAGATAACCCAAACCACCCTCAGGGACGCACACACAACAGAGAGGTCACACTCGACACGCAAAAGCACGCCTCCCCACAGCGGCGCTCCACACACCCTCCAGCAACGCGCTGGGCGGTGCCAGCCGCCTCGAAGCGAGGCTCCCGGGTCGACCGAGCCACCCCCCACTCACCCTCAGGTTCCCTTTAGTTCGCTGCTTGTTCTTCCCGCCCATGGTCGCGGTTGCAGCTGTATTCTGAGAACTCAGACCCCGGTTGACTCGTCTGGGACACAACTTCCGGCCTCTGGCGCCGGAAGAGGACTCCCTGTAATAACTTCCCCCGGGCCCTTTTTCCGCCACCCACCCTGTCCATTTGCTGCCCCACTTCCGCTCCCGCCTCCCGCTATGTCCCTGACCATCCGCCGCCGGAGACGTCACAGTTAAAGCCACGCCTGTCTGAGTGATGTCATTCCTGGCCAATAGCAAGCCAAACATTGGACCCGTGGCGCCAAATCCTGTCTTCCCCGCTTCCAGAAGCTAGGTTTGTTCCTTGCTTAGCGGGTAGGAAACTGGCATGAACCACCAGAGGGGCAGTTCACATAAGGGTAGCAATAGAATGTTATGGTAGAGGCTGTGGGAAGATGGGAATGTGTTAGACTTCCAACATGATGCAATCATCAGTATCACCTGGGCGTTTGTTACAAAAGGCCAACTCGGGCCCCTTGGAACTCCTGAATCAGATCCTGAATTTTGACGGTATTCCCAAGTCTTGTTAAAATTTGTTTACTGCTCTAGGCAATATTCTCTGTAAATCTACCCCCCGTCCCCTTTTATTCATATTGAAACTGTTACGTGCAGTTTAAAAGAGTATAATGTGGGAGTCTCTATTAAAATTTGAAATGTACGAATCCTGTGACCTAGTGATTGTGCGACTCAGAATCGCACTAGAGAAACAAGTAAATGTATGCTGGTTATTGTTTCTTGTCCACGCAGTCACCCTTTTATACTCACTCCATGTTACTGGGGCGCTTCTGCTAGACTTCACCAACAGGGCGAACTAGAGGGAAACAAAGGCAAGAGGAAGAAGGGACTTGCTCCATTCTGTGAGCATCATGCCAGCAGCAGCTGCCTTTTACCGTGGCAGGAGCAATTGCTTTAGCCAGCAGGTGGTTTTAATCTCCATCCTTTTTCCAACAATCACAAATCAGCCTTATTGCACCCCTTACCGATCACAGCAGCAGTCAGTGCTCTCCTGGGAGATCTGAATTCTACCTTCATGGAACCCCTCCCTTGAGCTCCTGAGATAGCCAATGTTTGAGCCACCGCCTCAGGAGTTTGAGCCCCAACACCGTGGGATCCCTTCTTTGAGCTCCAGAGATCCAGCAACAGCCAGCCATCACCCTCTACATTCTTCATAGGCCTGAACTAAGGTGTTCAGGGCCCTCCTCCAAGCTTTTAGGTTCTGATGACTCCAACCACTTCTTTTGTTCCATCCTTTCCTAGCTCTAAGAATGGTAGCTGCTACCTCCAGTGATTACCTGTTACCTTTTATAATTCCTTTTGACCAATTTCCCATATTGAAATATTTCTCAGTAACTAATGTGATTTCTGTTTTCCCGACTGGACCCTAATTTTAAAATGCACACAAAAGCCGGGTGTAGAGGCTCACGGGTGTAATCCCAGCACTTTGGGAGGCCGAGGCAGGTGGATCACCTGATGTCAGGTGTTCGAGACCAGCCTGGCCAACATGGCAAAACCCCGTCTCTACTAAAAATACAAAAATTAGCTGGGCCTGATGGCAGGCACCTGTAATCCCAGCTACTTGGGAGGCTGAGGCACAAGAATCTCTCGAACCCGGGAGGCGAATGTTGCAGTGAGCTGAGATCGTGCCACTGCACTCCAGCCTGGGTGACGGAGCAGACTATCTCAAAAAAAAAAAAAAAAAAAAAAAAAAGTCACACAAAGAGATGGATGTTCACAAAAACTTTATAATAGGAAGATAATTGTAAGCAACCTATGCTTATATATTGGAGAATGGCTAAATAAATTATATGTATTCAATAGGCTATTAGGCAGCATTTAAGAAGAATTAGATTTACCTGTACATATATAGGAAGAATTATAAGACACATTCTTAAGTAAAAAGCAAATACCAAGTAATATATACAGTATGATACCGTTTGTGTTTTTAAAACCCACAACACAATAATATATATGTATTTATGCATATATATATTATATAAATACAGAGAATAGGCCGAGTGTGGGGGCTCACATCTGTAATCGCAGCACTTGGGGAGGCTGAGGTGGGTGGATTACATCAGGAGTTCAAGACCAGCCTGGCCAACATGATGAAACCCTGTCACAACTAAAATACAAAAATTAGCTGGGCATAGTGGCAGGCGGCTCTAATCCCAGCTACTAGGGAGGCTGAGGCAGGAGAATTGCTTGAACCCAGGAGATGGAGGTTACAGTGAGCCAAGATCGCGCCTCTGCACTTCAGCCTGGGCAACAAAGTGAGATTCCATCTCAAATAATAATGATAATAATAATAATACAGAGAATAAAGATCTGCAAGAAAACATACCAGTCTGATCATTGTAGTTAATTTTTGTGGGAAAAAGTGGCAAGAAAAGAGATCAGGGTTATGAGTTACAGTCAAAAGAAATTAAGCCTTATCTGTAAGATTTTATTTTATACAAGGACAACATATTCCTGTATTAATTATGTAATTAAAAATCAACTCAGGCTGGGCAAGATGACTGATGCCTATAATCCCAGCACTTTGGGAGGCCAAGGTGGGTGGATCACCTGAGGTCAGGAGTTCAAGACCAGCCTGGCCAACATGGTGAAACCCCGTCTCTACCAAAAATACAAAAACTAGCTAGGCACGATGGTGTGCACCTGTAATCCCAGCAACTCAGGAGGCTGAGACAGGAGAATCACTTGAACCCAAGAGGCAGAGGTTGTACTGAGCTGAGGTCACACTACTGCACTTCAGCCTGAGCAACAAAGCAAGACACTGTCTCAAAAGAAAAAAAGAAAAAAGAAATGTCAATACTTTTAAGGCCAAGATTAGAAACTCTTCAGAAATCAGGTTGGGAGTTAAAAAAAAAAAAAAAAAGATTTGAAACTCTCCCTTCTTCATTCATGATTATTAATATTATAAATTATTGTTTTCACAGATTAAGAGTTATACAACAGAATTATAGCCTTTTTTCCCTAAGTAAATATTGGGCATGACTTACAGATGCCTGATGTTAGAATAATCTTATCCATCCAGGCAAGTTTCTGAGGAGGAAAATCAGACATCAAGCACTTAAAAATATATTTCCACATTCTATTTTATTTATTTATTGACCCTCCATACCCAAGTACATTTGAAAAACATCACCATATCCTGTGGCTTTAAAAAATGGCACAGTTGGCTGAAATTCACATGACCTCCTGAGTCCAATCACATCAAATGTTTTTTTCTCAAAATTGAAAATTTTCTTTGCTCTTCTATTTTATCAAGAGTGCCACCAAAAAGAATGTCTTCTTGATGGTGAATTAAAATTTTCTTCCAGGTTATTCGTCTGAGTTGGAAAATAATTTTTTTTTAATTTTTTGAGATGGAGTCTTGCTGTGTCGCCCAGGCTGGACTGCAGTGGCACGTTCTCAGCTCACTGCAAGCTCCGCCTCCCAGGGTCACGCCATTTTCCTGCCTCAGCCTCCCAGGTAGCTGGGACTACAGGCACCCGACACTACGCCTGGCTGATTTTTTGTATTTTTTAGTAGAGACGGGGTTTCACCATGTTAGCCAGAATGGTCTCCATCTCCTGACCTCGTGATCCGCCCACCTTGGCCTCCCAAAGTACTGGGAATTACAGGTGTAAGCCACCGCACCCAGAGGAAAATAAATTTTCAGAGTAGACATTTTAAAAGTAAGATGTGTGGCCGGGCACGATGGCTCAAGCCTGTAATCCCAGCACTTTGGGAGGCCGAGATGGGTGGATCACGAGGTCAGGAGATGGAGACCATCCTGGCTAACACGGTGAAACTCCGTCTCTACTAAAAAATACAAAAAAAAACTAGTCGGGCGAGGTGGCGGGCGCCTGTAGTCCCAGCTACTCAGGAGGCTGAGGCAGGAGAATGGTGTGAACCCGGGAGGTGGAGCTTGCAGTGAGCTGAGATCCCGCCACTGCACTCCAGCCTGGGCGACAGAGCAAGCCTCCGTCTCAAAAAAATAAATAAATAAAATAAAATAATAAAAATAAAAAAATAAAAGTAAGATGTGTTCAGAAATATTAAAAGTAGTTTGATTTCTAACCCACCAATGCTAATAAAATAGAAATCTATTTTTATTTCATACAAATACATTTTATTGCCCAATATTATCCAGTTCATATCTCATTCCAGACTCATCTATTTTGTCCTCATTTCCCTCATAAGTTTGGAAGAGTGGAAATGGCTGAACTTCTTAATCTATCAGTTTCAGGAAAGGAGACCCCAGATTTGTGATGGTTGGGTTGTCACTCTCAATGGGACTTTAACCACAAAACTTCTGGGAAAGTCCCTTTTTATGGGACTCAAAACATAAGCTAAGATGATGAGTCATATTTTGGAATCAAACTATATCTCAGAAACCATCTAGTGGCTTTAGAAATCAATGTAACATTTATCAAACACTTTCCAAGCTCTTGACCTATTAAGAGCCTATGTCTAGAAACAGCTAAGCAACTGGCGTAACTCCACAATAACAGTCCTAGAACCAAAAGGCACTGACTCTCAGTCCATTGTTGCCATTACAATGGAAAAATCACTCTTGGCTCCATGGCCTGAACGTATAATCACTTGCTTTCCCATCTATTACAACCTCAGTTTTTACTAAACAGGCTGCATAGTACAGAAAAAGGAAAGAAAATTGAAAAGCAAACCTAATCCACAGAATTGTTCACATATGCTCTGTAAGCCTTCCACGCAAATGACACCAGGTTTCCCACCATGCTACACCCAGATAGGAAAAGCTCCTTTGCTAGTTCCACAATATTCTTTCTTTTTTGTCAGCTAGAGCTCCACAGCCTGGTGAGAATGAGATCTGTGTGTTGTGCTGTACTTTCTTTGGAGATGGAAGTTGTGGGATCCCTGCTGATATATTCAGAGGCATGTTCTGTAACCCATCCTCTAGCATTCAGTGTACAGACTTCACCGCAACAATCACTCTGCAAGTGCACACTCAAATCTGTGTTCAGTAGGGTCTGCTGGGATTGTTTTAAGGACTGTGACCTGATAAGAACATATTGCTTTCTTAGGTCCTTCAAAAAACACACACAAGTCATTTTTATATACCAAAAAATATAGGTAGGACTGGGCAGAGAATTTCCAACACACTTGACAGTAA